TCCTTCCTTCCTTCCTTCCTTCCTTCCTTCCTTCCTTCCTTCCTTCCTTCCTTCCTTCCTTCTTTCTTTCTTTCTTTCTTTCTTTCTTTCTTTCTTTCTTTCATTCTTTCTCTGTCTTTTTTCTTTTTCTCTTTCTCTTTCTCTTTCTCCTTCCTTCCTTCCTTCCTTCCTTCCTTCCTTCCTTCCTTCCTTCCTTCCTTCCTGTTCTTTTTCGCCCCTGGAGGGGACCCCGCTGGGGAAGAATCTTTCTGCAGGCTGCCCTCCTTCAGAGGGGAGGGGTCTTCAGAACCACTCAGCCTGACATTCCAAGATGCTGTGCCTTTAAGGGGCCAGGCCCCCCCAGGCCAGGCGCAAGGTCTGGGCCAGGGGGTGCCCCAGAGGCCCCGGACCACCCTCCTCCATGGAGCCAAACCCCTCCGGATCTGGGAACGGTGAGTTCCCCTCCCAAAAGGGGGAGGGGTGTGTGCGTTGCCACAGCAACCAACCCACACGGTGGCCTCCAGAGTGGCCCAACTGCCGGGGACCCCCTCCCCACCTGATTCCAACCCTTCCAGCTCTCTGGGATGCCTGCAGATTCCTATGGCAGAGTTGACCCCAGGCCTGGACCGTGGGAGGTTCGGTGGCCTCTCCACCCACTCCCACGAATGGAGACCCTCCTGCCTCCCTTATCAGCCGGTTTCGGTTGCCAACGGATGCTCAAAACCCTTCCTCCTCTGCTTGGGAGTTTGGGTGTCTCTCTCAAGCCCAGTCTGGGTTTGTTTTTACTCAAACCATGGTTTCTTTTAAAAAAACAAAACTTGGTTTAGCAAACTGGGGGCATGGGGGGTGAACAGGACCCCATCCTCATCCTCTTTCCAACCCACCAGGATCCAAATGAATTCAGTGTCCTTTTTAATCACGTCCATTGAGTTGAAGGGTTTTTAATTTAAACAGATGCTTTCATTCAGTTTGGTTTCAAAATCTTCAATTTTTTTTCCAGTTATGGGGTGGAGCCTGTTTTAACTCGCACGGGTGCCCCGTTCGGTGGTGGGGTAGTGAATTTATTGATTTTTATTTTATTTGTTTGTCAAACGTGTACAAGATAACAAGTAGAGGGACGAACAGAAACATCAACAAAGGAAGTAAATACAGAGAAATAGGGACAGTAGACATGGACGGTAGGCACGCTTGGTGCGCTTATGCACGCCCCCTACTTATGCCCTATAACCCCTGGAAAAGAATTTCCTGGATGTTTGGGGTGTTGCATTTAGGGTCAAATTTGAGAGAGTAGCAGGTAAATACAGGTAGCTTTCGATTCCCGGCCGGAATAGAGCCCAAATTTTCAGTTGCTAAGTGAAACAGTTAGGTTTTTTATATGTATACTATATGTATATGTGTATGTGTATGTGTACATATACTATATACTATATGCTATATGCTATATACTATATGCTATATGCTATATACTATATACTATATATGTATGGCATTCAGCTTTGTTCGTAAGTACCCGCGAAAACTTAAGAAAACTTAAGAAAACATATATACTATATAGTATATACTATATACTATATAGTATATAGTATATACTATATACTATATACTATATACTATATACTATACAGAAGCCTGATGATGGCAGATGAGATTCTGCTGAAACGTCGCTACAACTTTAAAAGCACAACTACAATGACATGGGAAAATACCCGAACAAAGCTGAATACCCCATACACACACACACACACACACACACACACACACACACACACACATATATATATATATATGGGGTATTCAGCTTTGTTCAGGTATTTTCCCATATCAATAGTTTTATTTGGGTTTTCACAAAACATAATACAAATAAAATATCTTTTTTTGAGAACAGCATGATCCCTTCTCCATACAGACATAAACTCAGTTACATATTCATCTTTATATTCTATTCCATATCTTATAATTATTTTAGCATTTTCAGTTATATATATTTTTTCCAAGTTTCAATATCTAATCATTATTTTTATACTTTAGTCTGTCCTGTGAAACTGTTAGCTTTTCATGACATGTAGATGTGTACATCCAAACTAGACGTGTGTTGTTTCTCTGCGTCATATAATACATAATTTTGTATTTATTTATTTAGCTATGCTTACGTAGTATACATTGGAGGCGGCGACCCTTTGAGAGCTGAAGGGCCATGAATTTTTCATTTTAATGTATACTGATTAGCGCACATTCAAAGGGATAATAAAGTTATTCCAACTCTGTTATTCTGTGATTCAGAAGTCGTGGGAAGCTTTCAAGAAGAGACTGGGCTGCCCTCTGTCAGAAATGGTGCTGGGGGGGGGGTTGGACTAGATGACCTACAAGGTCCCTTCCAACTCTGTTAAATCTGTTAGTTTGGTCAGCTGTCCCAGAATCACATGTGGTGGTTGGTTTCTGCTTCATGAATAAAGGGAACTTTTCTTTCCAATCAGCCTCCCAGTATCATTTTACTCCCAGTATCTTTCTGGAACTGAACCCAGATAGATTTTCCCTTTCAACAGGTTTTTTTTGGGTGGGGGAACGAACGTCTTCTGGGTCCCGAATTCACAGCCTTTTCTCAACCCCTGTCCAGGGGTGGGATTCAAAATTTTAACAACCGGTTCTGTGGGCGTGGCTTAGTTGGTGGGCGTGGCTTGGTGGTCATGTGACTGGGTGGACATGGCTTGCTGGTCATATTATTGGCTGAGTGTGGCCAACTCAGCATCACTCACTTCGAGGCACGCATCTCCTTGCCTGGTCTCTTGTGACTGTGACGATGTTGCAACAGTCATAAGTGTGAAAAACGGTCATAAGTCACTTTTTTCAGTGCCATTGTAACTTTGGTCACTCCACACAAGCAAAGTACCAGGAAAGGAGGGGAAAAAAACTCCAGAGAAGTTCCTGAAACAGGAAGTCTAGTCTTGCCAAGAATGTAATAAGGATTAACGGAGAGGCTGTTTCTGTAAGCAACACCAGAATGTTTCCTTCCTGCCTTCCTTACAGGATTAGCCCTGTAATTTCTTCTAACAACCGGTTCTCCCAACTGCTTAGAATGTTAATAACCGGTTCTGGCGAATAGGTGCGAACTGGTAGAATCCCACCCCTGCCTCTGTCCCAATTCTTCTTCCTTCCCTTCTTCAGCCCAGATGCATGTGCGGAAGGATGAACTTGATTCCCTGCAAGAGACAAAGGATGCCGAGCTGGGCCAGGTGGCCGAGGACCTGCAGGAGGCCAACGAGGAGATCCAGAGCCTACGGCTGGAGGCGGAGGAGGCGGCCGCCGTGCACGAGAACGAGATCGCCAGCTTGCAAGAAGAGCTCTGCCGGATGAAAGCCGAGCTGGAGAGAGTCCAACGGATCCACAACGAGTACGAAATGGAGCTCACCACCCTGCGGGCTGAACTCTGGATGATGCAGAACTTGGCCGCCGAAAACAGCGGTGGCGCTAGCGAAATCCCCCTCCGGGAGCAACGGCTGTCCAGCCCGAGCCAGGAAATAGCTCGGCTCCAAGGTACCTCTTTAAAGAAAAAAAAATCGGGGTAACTACCCCTCTGTTATGCATTTATTTTTTTAAAAATATGTGTACTGTGTTTCCCTGAAAATAAGACCCAATCTTATATTTCTTTTGGCCACCAAAAAAAGGCACCAGGTCTTATTTTCAGGGAATGTCCTCCACTGACTATCCTCACTTGTGTGCGTTGCTCCCGGCCTCCTTTTCACTGTTTGAGGCCTTCAGGAACTCCTCCTTCTGTGGCCAGCAAGGCTTTCCTGAAGGCCTCTGCAGCCGGTAATGGAGCTCTGGATTGATCCGGAGGTCTTTAGGAAAGCCTTGCCTGTTGTGGTTCGCCGGCAGCAGGTGTGGACGGCTGAGGTCTCGGAGAGAGAGGACTCGGATGAGGGGCCTGCGTGGGATGCAGGGATGGGGCCAGGACCCATCAGGGAGTGGAGTGCTGCTTTCGGGGCTTGTGGAGGCTGGCAGCAGTGAGGAAGAGCACCCCGAGGAGCCTGTGCCAAGTGCATGTGCACAGAAGGAAAGAGCAGCTGCAGCAGCACGGGCGACTCGGGAGTAAGGCTGCAAGGCAATCTCTCAAGAGATAAAAGCCAGCTGAGAAACCGGAGTTCTTTGCAGGAAGCAAAGACGTTTTTGCACTCAAGCCTTGTGGACGTTCGGACTATCTTGGTTGGTGTTTGGAGACTCTTTGTGTTTGAAATATTCCTTGGCAACTTTACCTCGTGTTCTTGGCAGCCTTGCACCACCTTGGCAAGGCTCGTTCTTATCAGAGGCAGTTAGTCTTTAATAACATTTTACTGAGAATGAACGGAATTCACAGCGAAGCATCGAAAAGGATTTGCTTTTATCTCTGTTTGGTGTTCTTTTTGCTTTGAACCAGGCTTGGGTCAGAACATTGCCAGCCTTGCTGGCTGCAGAAGGAAATGGGCTGGCAAGACAGGTGTCAGGATATCATCTGGCCAGTTTTTCATATTTTGGGTGGGACTAGAACTCCCAGTTTCCTGGTTTCCAGCCTGGAACCTTCACCAAACTGCCTTAAACATTAAATCTCTTCAGAAAGATGTGTTTTGCTAGATAGAACTCTATGATGAATGTTGGGATGTTTATAATCTGGGTTCAGTTTGGCTCGGCAGGGACGAGAGAGAGTTTATAGAGTCCTAGGGCTAGAAGGGACCAACCGGGCTGTATGTGTGCTGGGGGAGGGTTGGTGGGTGGTTGGACTAGAAGACCTCCCGGGTCTCTTCCGACTCTGGTCACTCCGCAGGACCGTGGCTCCCTTTCGATTCTGCCCTTGTGCTTTTGCAGGTGAGCTGGACACCACGAAACTCCAATACTCGGATCTGAAAGAAGAATTCCAGATTTTGCAGGCGAGCAACAAGATTATGCTCCACCAGCTGGAGAAGTTGGAAGCTCTGAAATACAAGTAGGTTCGGACGGTTCTGCTCCGGGTGTGGCTGCTTCGCCTGGAGATGGACGAGAACGAGGTGCCCCGAGATGGGGGGGGGCGGGGAGGAGGAAGACGGGCTACGGGGAGATCTCGCCAGGTCGGGGGTGTCAAACTTGCTTTCCTGGAGGGCCGCATCAGGGTTGTGTTGGATCTTGAGGAGGGCCGGGGTGGGCGTGGCCAGCATGACATCACTTGTGTGTGTGTGTGGGGCACCTGGGGTGGCCAGAGCACTCTGCCAATGAAAAACGGGCTCCCAAGTTCCGTTTTCGGCTGGGTTGGCCTCCGGCAACTCACTCCCAGCGGAAATGGACCCGGGTGTGTGTGTGTGTGTGCACGCGCAGAGGTGGTCTTCAGCTGGTTCTGACTGGTTCTCCAGGAGAACCAGTAGCGGAAATTTGGAGTCGTTTGGAGAACCGGCCGTTCCCACCTCAAACTGGCCCCGCCAACCCCATCTCTCTTCTCCGCCTCCCATTGAGTCCCGGCTGATCGGCTGGGTCTCCTTTGGTTGCCCTGCCCAGGAGAATGGAGCTGGAAAGCAGGTTAGAGGGGTGGGGAGCAAAGGGGGATTTTGCAGTAATCTTCTCCTGCCATGCCCACCAAGCCACGCCCACAGAATGCTACGCCCACCAAGCCACGCCCACAGCTGATTGGCTGGGCCTTCTTTGGTTGCCCTGCACAGGAGAACGGAGCTGGAAAGCAGGTTAATGGGGTGGGGAGGAAAGGGGGATTTTGCAGTAATCTTACCCTGCCACGCCCACCCAACCACGCCCACCCAGCCATGCCAACACCCACCAAGGGTCAGGATTCTGACATGCATCTCTAGCCGCATCTCTCAGAGTGGAAAAAAAAAATCAATTTATTAGGTGTTTCCTGGTGGCAGCTGACTCTGAGACACATCATTCATTTCCCCCTTGAACCCTGGTCTTCCCCCACGCCCCCTGGATGTATATTCTCCAATGGGACACATCCACAGCCAAGACCCATCAATCATGCTTTCCAGTAATAATCTTGTGTGCCAAGAGCTTCGGCTGCCTAACAAATTATCTGAAGCATTTAAGGAATGCACTGCTTTCCCTCCTCCCTTTCTGCTGGCAACTAAAAAGACCAAAGGAGTATTTTTTTAGTTGACACCAAGCCGCACCGCACCCACCGAGCCACGCCCACAGAACCGGTAGTAAAAACATTTACGAGCTCTGTTTTTGCTGGCCCTGCGGCCTAGTCCTTCTCTGTTTCCAGGGCGGTCCTGTGGGCCAGATCTAAGCAACCCGTAGGCCAAATCCAGCCCTTGGGCCCTGAGTTTGACACCCATGGGTTAGAGCATGCCACAAACCAGGAATGGCCGTGGATGAATGTCAGGACTTGCAGGTATCCAAAACCACCCTCGAGGGAACGGCATTGATACAGGTAGTCCTCAACTTAACAACAGTCCATTTAGTGACCGTCCGAAGTTATAACGGCACTGAAAAGTGCGACTGGAGACTTGTTTCTCGCACTTATGACCGTTGCAGCATCCCCGTGGTCACGTGATCAACAGTCTGACTCTCGGCCGCTGGCTTCTATTTACGACGGTTGCTAGCGTCCCCGGGGTCACCCGATCACCTTTCGTGACCTTTGGATGGGCAAAATCAATGGGAGAAGCTGGATTTGCTTCACGAGCGTGAGAATAACTTAACCAGGGTGGTGGTTCCCTTAACCACCATGGCGGGAAAGGCCGTAAAGTGAGACATAGCTTACTTAACCACGGTCTCGCTTAGCAATGGAAATTCGGGGCTCCGTTGAGGGGTTGTAAGGCGAGGACTACCTGTATGTCATTCACATGACGGGACATGGGTTGTGTTGTGGCCTGTCAGCCACAGCCAAATCAGAGGAGGTGAAGGAAGCGGAGTGGGAGTCAGGTCAGCATCAGGGCAACCTGAGAGCTCCGAGGGGGAAGAGAGAGAGAGAGAGAGAGAGAGAGAGAGAGAGGCGGAGCCTGGGCCGTCCATCAGCCTCCAATGGAGAGTCAACAGCCCCCAGGTCTGGAGGTGGCTGATGAGGAAGAGGAGGAACAGCGGGGTCCAGTGCCTGACACGCAAAAGCTCAAAAGGCAGAGGAGAGGAGAACAGTGGAAATCTATGAGCCGGCCCTTGGGATGGAAGAGCCACCACTACTACTAGCGAAGGCCCACCCGAGTTCTGGGGATAAAAGGCAGAGGGCGGAGACAAATAGGTGAGGCAGACAACTATTCATCTCCCGACGAACAGACGGACTTGTCAGCCTGCGGTGAGACAGAAAGTTTTTGCCGGTGCTCCTAATAAAGAAATCTTTGAGTTCACTCCAGAGGGTTTGTCGTGTTTGGGGATCTGGGTCAGAACAGGTTGAGAGGAGAAGGACGACACTCCTTCTGCTCCAGGAGCGCTAAAGGTTGAAGGCAAGTGGCTTTCTGTGTGTGGGGGCGGATTCTGGGCGTTGAAGTCCACCAGTAGTCAAGTTGCCCATGGTTGGAAAGCCCTGACTTGAGCCGATCTCCCGCAGCAAGTACCGAAACAGGACGGATGAGTCGCCATCTCTGGAGTCCATCTCTCAGTGGCCCTCGGATCGCCGCTACTCCCTCATGAAGCAACCCACCAACCAGAAAGGCAGCTGTGTCTCCTTCTGGTCAGTGGAAATTGTGGGCGTCGCAAGCGACTACAACGAAGAAGAGAGGATGGAAAAGGTGGAAGAGGAGAATGAGCTAGACGTGTCACACCAGCTGGCGGTGGAGGAGGAGGAGAAGGTGGAAAAGGTGGAGAAGGTCCAGAACCAGGTATTTCTTCATGCTATAGGGCATTTATTCTTTTCCTGGGTTCTCTCTCTCTCTCCTGTCTGTCTATCTATCTATCATCTATCTATCTATCTATCATCTATCTATCTATCTATCTATCTATCTATCTATCTATCTATCTATCTATCTATCTATCTAATGTATCTATCTATCTATCTACAATCTATCTATCTATCTATCTATCTATCTATCTATCTATCTATCTATCTATCTATCTATCTACTATCTATCTATCTATCTATCTATCTATCTATCTATCTATCTATCTAATGTATCTATCTATCTATATTTGGTCTCTGTCTCTCTCTCTCTCTTTCTCTCTCTTATTTATCTATCTGCCTATCTATCTATCTATCTATCCATCTATCTGTCTACCTATCTATCAATAGTGCATTTACTTATTCAATTGATTTTATTTATTTATCTTTTTATTTAATTGATTTTATAGATTTTGTAGTTTCCTTATTTAGTTATATTATAGTGTATTCATTTATTTATTTTATAGTGTATCCATTTATTTAATTGATTTTACGGTGTATTTATTTATCCTTATTTAATTGATTTTATAGTGCATTTATTTAGTGATTTTAGTGTATTTTCTATCATCTAAGTATATTTATTCATTTAATTGATTTTATAGTGTATTTATTTACTTAATTGATTTTATAGTGTAATTTAGTGATTTTATAGTATATTCATTTATTTTATAGTGTATTTTCTATGGTATTTATCAATCTATCTATTTCATGGTGTACTCATTTATTTAATTGATTTTACAGTGTATTATCTATGTATTGATTTTATAGCATATTTATTTAATTGATTTTATAGTATATTTATCTATTTAATTGATTTTATGGTGTATTTATTTAGCGATTTTATAGTATACATTTATTTTATAGTGTATTTTTATCTATCTATCTATCTATCTATCTATCTATCTATCTATCTATCTATCTATCTATCTATCTATCTATCTATCTATTTCATAGTGTACTCATTTATTTAATTGATTTTAAAGTGCATTATCTATTTATTGGTTTTATATCATATTTATTTGATTTATTTTATAGTGTATTTATGTAGTTATTTTATACTGCATTTATTTATTTATTTTATGGTGTCTTTATTAATTTTATGGTGTGTTTATTTAATTGATTTATACGGCCACGCAAAGTCGGTAGCTGGCATAACTTTAAAACCACAACGATAACCAACAAGACAAAAAAAGAAAAAGAAAAGAAATGCAGACCAGAACCCTCTAACACTCAGGCTAACCCACAATCAATCAGCAGGCTGACAATTGCAGGTAGTCCTCGACTTACAACAGTTCATTTAGTGACCATTCGAAATTACGACGGCACTGAAAAAAGTTGTCAGCATTCCAGAAAATCTCCACTCCAACAAATAACTCCGAAACAGGCATCTTCCCAAAAGTTTGGTTTTATTTGGATAGTAAACCGGCACATCTGGAAAATCCCGAATCTGTAAGTTCCAGGTTTCCTTACAATAAGGAAAAAATTACAAATCCACCCCCTGCCCCCATCATGGCATCACGTGCCCCAATCGCCATCTGTCCCAACTTGAGACGTCCTCTCCACCAGGTGCAGAAATAACATGACCTTGAATTAGAAAAATAATGTTGTTATGTCTAACTACATACACTCCAAGAAATTCCCCCCTCCCATTTTCCCAGTCTCAGGAATGTGGAAGCGTGGAAGTGTCTGGTGCTCATATGGCTTCCAAAGCTGACAGGCGTCCCCCCTTGAAAAAAACCACGTCCTGGAAAATGCAATAAACAAAACACAACAAGGGGTTAAGGCATTGTTACCTTCCAAAGCTGACGAAAGGGGCTTTACCACACAACCGTTGCAATCTTCCCAGGGTCAGGTGATCAAAATTCAGAGGCTCGGCAAACTGGCTCTTGTTTATGATGGTCGCAGTGTCCTGGGATCACGTGGTCTCCATTTTGTGACCTTCTGATCAGCGAAATCCTTGGGGAAGCCAGATTCACTTAACAACCGGGTGACTTGACTTAACCTTTGCAGTGATTTACTTAAGGACCATGTCAAGGAAGGTTGTACAACGGGGGCGGAGCTCAGTTCACAACTGGTCCCGCTTTTTAGCAGCTGAGGAAACATTGGGTTTGATTGTGGTTATAAGTCGAGGACTACTTGTATAATCAGGCTCAGCCAGTACCTGCCCCCCGCCATACCCGGTCCAAGGCCTTATGGAAGGACAGAAAAAGAGACAGGCCACCTGAATCTCGGGGGTCCAAAGAGCCGGCGAGGTGACCCAGAAGGCACGTCTCCTGGACGCCACCAGCTGATGTGGCTTCCAAGTAGGATCCTGGAGGTTGTCCACCCCGTCAGCCCTTGTGAGATGGGTGTTGACTACGACATCTATTTGTCTCCCCCTCTGTCTTTTATTCCCAGAGCTCGGGGTGGTTCTTCCATCCCAAGGGCCGGCCCATAGATTTCCACTGCTCTCCTCTCCTCTGACTTCTGTACATCTACGCATCAGGCACTGTACCCAGCTGTTCCTCCTCCTTCCGCATCAGCCACCTCCAGACCTGGACGCTGTTGACTCTCTGTCAGAGGGCGGATGGATGGCCCAGGCTCCACCCCTCTCTCTCTCTCTCTCTCTCTCTCTCTCTGCCAGCTCCATTTCCTCTTCCCCCTTGGAGCTCTTAAGTCGCCTTGATGCTGGCCCGAACTCCCACTCCACCTCCTCCTCTGATTCAGCTGCTTAAGGGGCTGGGGGCTGACGGCCCCCAGCTATGGGTGTCCCACAAGGGACTTTGGTCCTGTGAAACTTTGGGGTGGGTGAGGAAAACTCTTCCAATAGATCAGTTGCCAAAGTAGGAGACCCTTGAAAGAAAGAGTGAAGATCCAACATGAGGGGTTGAAGAAGGCATCGGGGCCTTCAAGTTCTTTAGGAGAACCAGAACGTTTTCCTAGTCGCCTGTCTAGAACTTGGACAAAAGTGATGGGTGGAGCGGGTGAGGTGACTGGGAAGCCACCTCAGAAGAGCTGGTGATGGAGCCAGGTGACCCTTCCTTTCCCGCCCTCTTCTTGCCCTACCAGGGCAATATGTCCCAGTGCACTCTGGGTGAAATGGAGAACGAGGACCAGGCTTGCTCCCAAGACCTAGATTTTAAGAAAAGACCGAGAAGGAGGAGAGAATCCGATTTCCGGAAGGTAGGAAGAAGAGGGCAAGAGAGAGGGAGGGGCAGGTCAGCTTAAGGGTGGAGAAGGATCAGCTTATCCTAGATGTTTCTTGGGCTCATCTGAAGACCTCAGCGAGAGCTGTCTTCTAGTTGGGGGCCAACTTTGCAGAGCAGTTATGAGATGAGAGAAAGAAGAACAGAGAAGTATTACAAAAGAACTGAGTGTTCCCATGGAGAGGGACTCACTGTTGCTTAAAAACATCCAAGGTCCTTCAACCCTATGATTCTAGGAGAAGAGATGGGACATTCAAGAACTTTAGGAAGACCAGAAAGTTCTCCTGGGTTGTCTAGAACTTGGAGGAAAGAGGGAGAGGCCCAAACTTGAATTGAGGAGGAATTTCCTTGACTTGGGTAAAACGGTGGACGCTCCATAACTGGCGTGGTCTTCAAGAAAAGAAGGGACGGTCATTTGTCCAGCATGGTAGGAAGGTCCCTGCCTTGGACAGGAGGCTTGACTAGAAGACTTCCAAGGTCCCTTTAACCCCATGATTGTATGAGAGGGGATGGGACATTCAAGAAATTTAGGAGGACCAGAAAGTTCTCCTGGGTTGTCTAGAACTTGGAGGAAAGAGGGAGAGGCCCAAACTTGAATAGAGGAGGAATTTACTTGACTTGGAGAGCTCTTGGGTAAAACTGTGGACGCTCCCTAACTGGCGTGGTCTTCAAGAACAGAAGGGACGGTCATTTGTCCAGAATGGTAGGAAGGTCCCTGCCTTGGGCAGGAGGCTTGACTAGAAGACTTCCAAGGTCCCCTTTAACCCTATGATTGTATGAGAGGGGATGGGACATTCAAGAAATTTAGGAGGACCAGAAAGTTCTCCTGGGTCATTATCTAGAGTAGACCTTTGAAGGCAGACAAAGATACAGGTGGGGAGGACGGGATGATAGAAAAGCCACCTCGGGAGAGATGGTGATGGAGCTATGAGATGCTTCCTCTCCCATCCTCTTCTTGTCTGCCAGGGCTTTGTGGCCCAGTGGAATCTTCCAGAAATGGAGAGAGAAGACCAGTTTTCCAACCAAGAGATGATCACTAAGAGAAGACCGAGGAGGAGAGAATCCCTGAGAGAAGGGAAAGAAGATTGGAGGGAGAGAGGAAGGAACACAGAGTTTCTTCTTGAGCAAGATCTCAACGAAAGTTCAGAGAGGGAAAGGCAGGTAAGCAGGTAACGGTGGAGAAAGATCAGTTCAGGCCTATCCTGGGTGTTTTCTTGGACACAGGTGAGGGCCTCAGTCTTGCATCTCGAGCAGGGACATCGTGGTGGCCAACCTCGTAGAACGTAGAGAGACAACCATCCTCTGAAGTAGCAAAGAGCCATCCTTGCTAGGTCCTTATGGGTCAGTCAAGTTGGAAGGTTTTCTAGCCTAGATGATGGATATCAAGTAATTGGATGTTCGTCTTCAAAGAGCGTCCCAAACCAGCTCTGGTTCTTGCGGACTCAGGAATTCTGGAAGTTGGAAGTCCACAAGTCATCAAGGGGTCATCGTTTCCCCACCCCTGCTCTTAGAAAGTGGTTAAAGGAAGGAACTGAGTAGGCTCGGCTAAAAGAAGAGAAGTTGAAGGAGAGGCATGATAACGTCTTCTGGTCACTGAGGAGATCTTCCAGGGACCAGGGAGACAATGTATGCTCCAGAGAATGAGTCCTCAACCTTGGCCACTTTAAGCCTGGAGGACTTCAACTCCCAGGCGTTGAAGTTCTCCAGGCTTAAAGTGGCCAAGGTTGGAGTCCCCTGCTCCGGAGCACCTGAGGGTAAAGATGAGAACCCATGACTGGAAGGAGTACAAACTTGAATGGAGGAGGAATTTCCTGACTTGGATAGTTATGAAAGGAAGCTATGGGTGATCCATCGCTGGTGGCATTCAAGAAAGGAGTGGACAACATTTGTTTTAAAAACCAATAAAAATTTATTTATAAAAGAAAAATGAAAAAAAGAATTAAAAAAAGAGAAAGGAACGGACAACCACTTGTCCAAAACGGTCAAGGGTCTCCTGTTTGATCAGGGGGTTGGACTAGAAGACCTCCAAGGTCCCTTCCAACTCCATGATTCTACATTCTACTTAGGAGAACGAAGGAGAAGTTTTCTATCAGTGAGAACAATTAACCAGCGGAACAGCTTTGACGTCAGTAAATTGTAAGGGCTCCATCAGTGGAGGTTTTCAAGAAGTGACCGGATAGCTACTGGTCCCAAATGGGAGAAGGCCTCCTCCTTCACCAACCCCAGAGATGTCGGCCAAGTGGCACAGCCAACCCCCTCACCCCTCACCCCCTTGTAGGACCAGTGTGGCAGCTACGCCGTACACATCCGTGTCAGCCGGTCAGCCGCGGAGGGCTCTCGGCGAGGCCCGCCTTGACGGCTCTCCTTCTCGGTTTTTGGCAGCATGACCAAGCACAACACGACCTGCGGGAACTGGAGGGAAGATACCACCAAAGCCAGTTTGAGCGAGAGCAGCTTCAGGAGGAACTGCGGCTGTGCAGGGAGGAGATCGAAAGGCTGAACGGCAGCATCCCGACAGGAGGACGGGTAAGGCCAGTTGCACCCCCGCCCCCTCCCCCCACCATCCCCCTGGGCCATCTCTGGGACTGAGGGGGTCTTCTCGTCATGGTTGCTGTCAGGGCTCCAACCCACCCACCCCCGTTCAAATCGTAAGTCTCTAGCCGCATCTCAGAGAAAAGAAAAATGATTTATTAGGAGCGGCCATGTTGCCGTTAGCTGGGTGCAGCCGATACTAAAATACATCGTTCATTTCCCCCTTGACCCTGGTTTTCCCCCCACCCCCCTGGATGTATATTCTCCAATGGGACACATCCATAGCCAAGTGTCATCAATCATGCTCTCCAGTAATATTCTTGCGCTCCGACAGCTTTGGGCTGCCAGGGTGATTATCTAGGCACTTAGGGAATGCACTGTTTTTTCCTCTACTCCCTTTTTCTGGCAGCTAAAAAGACCAAAGGAGTCTCTTTTTAGTTGACAGTTGCATTCAGAGGCCTGTCTTAACTAGAGGTCCTCCATGTTGGCCGTTCCTAAGGAGCGAGATCCAGAGATCAAATACTCCGACAAAGTAGCAGGGTGTTCTTGGTGGCGTCTGAGCCCGGTGGTTTTCTTCAAGATGTTTTGTTGGCCAAACTTGGTTTTATTCATTTAGTGCAGGTGTCGGCAACCCGTGGCTCTGGAGCCACATGCGGCTCTTTGGGCCCTCTGCGGTGGCTCCCTGTTGGGTGATCCCTCCGCTGGCTGGCCCCGCCCCTCACCCTCCACTCCTGGTCAGTTCTTGCCTGGCCTGAGAAAGTAAAACACACAAAAAAGAAATGGGAGGGAGGGAGAGAGAGAGAGAGAGAATGAAAGAGAGAGAATGAGGGAGAGAGAATAAGAGAGGGAGAGAGAGAAAGAGAGAGGGAGAGAGCGAGAGAGAAAGAATGAGGGAGAGAGAGAGA